GGAATTTGGATTCTATGGGATTTGGATTGGATTGAGTTTAAAATCCATTTCTGTATTTGGTTTGCAGGATTTGGATTAGATTTGAAATTCATTCATCTGTTTGGTTTGTAGGATTTAGATTTGAATTGAGATTTTTTTTTGTAATTATTTTAATCACCAAATATCTTTCATTTTCTTAAATCTATCTATTTAACCAACAAACCTAAAAATTTAACAATCAAACATTTTCATCCAAAATGCATATTTAATCAACAAACATTTTCATCCAAAATACATATTTAATCAACAAATATTTTCAAAAGCACACATTTACCCACCAAAATTTACCCACATTTAACTACCAACTTGTTTTTTCAAAAGCACACATTTACCCACAAAAATTTACCCACATTTCTTCCAGTAGTCCCAAGATTTTTCCTTTTCCTAACTTTGTCTAGTCTCTTTAACAATCATCATCACATGTATTATGTATACACTAATGGCAGGTCAATCCATTTACCATTCCTTCACAGTGCCTTCTACATAGAACATACTACTCTCTGTCTCTCCAGGCCTCAAACAACAGACACTTATAATCTCTCTCTACAGCTTCAACTGAAGTCAAATACATGAAATAAGATGTTTTTCTTGTATTCTCTCTGTATCTTATAAAAAGAATTACCATACATTGCTCCTACTTGTATATAAATGATAGTATGAATGGAAGGGGTTTTCCTCGCAGGGTGTGCTTTCAACAGGCCAATCTTAGGATCAAAGTTTTGCTTTAGACAAGAGGAAACAGTGCCCATCAGGCTACACTCKGACCGGACCAGTCCTAGCAAATCCAGTCTTTGACCAGGCTGAACCTCAGGCCTATTGTGCACCTCTCATTGAGTCATTGACAAAAAAACAAACAACACAATTAATACAGTTAACAATATGAACACCCACAAAATACATTTAAGTGCACATACTTGTAGCAAGGAGATAATTTAAAGTGATAACAAAATCCGCACAATCTTCCTTTTATATGATACAATCATCAAATTCACGAATATAAGAAACCATACAAGCCATCACCAATCTAAAAGACCGATATTTTGGATCTAGATTTTAGCAAATAAGTACAAACAAAACCGATTTCAGCCTACTTATTCAAAGCAGCGATAGACGCACTAGCATGTCCAAAGTAATCCCTTCTTGTTTGTTGTCTTCTATTCAAAACTTGGATGACCAAATCCTTCCCATTGGCCTTATGCAATCATGTGAAATCCCCCATCTCTGCCTTCTATAGTCACTCTACAACCACCCATACTGTTGAAACTTGATATGGTGCTTATTTTTTCTATCAATCTGTCCCGCTTTATAATTCAAGGATGTAGTCCCCTTCTATAGTCACTCTAAATAAATGTTACTAGGAATCCCTAATTAACATATGCAAATCTACAGAGTCAACGAGGGCAGATATATGTTCGTACATTGAAAAATAAATAGGATGCATATTTGGGAAGGAGACATGTTAATCTTCAAACTGTAATATGTAATGTAATAACCAGAAGATTGGAAAGGAAGTCTTACCTGCTGATTGATGAGAAAAGGCGGAGAAGAGGAGGAGAGAGCACCGGCGATTGCAATGATGAGAGAAGGCGAGAGCAGTGGGGAGTTAGAGGAGACACCGGCGCGAGCAGTGGGGAAGCGGACGAAGAGGAGCAGAGGAGGAGAGCATCGGCGGCGGCGAGAGCAGTGGGGAGGTGGAGGGGACACCGGCGAAAGCGGACGAAGAGGAGAAGAGGAGGATTGCGTTAGGGCATGAAGCGTTGAAGAAGAAACACCGCCCGGATTTGGATTCTAAATCCAACCTATTTCCAAAGGATTTTCAAATCCCTTGTTTACGGGATTTTAAGGGATTCCCGGGATTTTAAATCCGGGTAACTTGGCAAACCAAACACGGGATTGGAATGGATTTAAAATTCAAATCTCCTCAATTTCATTCCATTCCTGCAAACCAAACGCGCCCTAAGGGTCTTTTGGTATGTAATAGTAATTTTAAAAAAAATTAGTAAATAAACGAGACAATTTTTTTTTAATATATAATAAACCCAAAAATTTTAGTTTTATATTAAATTTAATGGTCCAAACATGTATTATTTAATTACACTAGAGAAGTAGATATGTAAAAAAATCAATTGGTCATTGATTTTATAGCCTTGTTTATTGTTTTTCTAAGTTTTTTTTTTTTTTATGTATTACCAAAATCTATTGTTTATTGTTTTTCTAAGTTTTTTTTATATATTACTAGAGTCTAAAACTATTTTCCTACAAACCCTTGATATATTCATCTCACATTGATGTTTTTGAAAAAATTACCAACCATATAAACAGTCTAACTTGAAATCGTAAGTGTTCTCATATATATAAAACAACAATAAGATCCTAAGCTAAAACCAACAAGCGCTTTTGATTCAAAGATTGATAGTTTTGAAGTTTTTTGTTTTCAACCACAAAAGTTTAAAATATTGATTGAAAACATTAAATGAGGTGAGATGGAAACCTAACTGATTTATATTGATTTACATAAAATATTACTTCTAATAGTCAATATTGTGATCTCAAATAATGTCAATTTATCTATTAAATGAATATGTGTCATATGTTTTTGATGATGAGAATATTTACCATGTAAAAATGATATGATTGATAATATTAATTTAAAAGTGAATCACATTGATGGTCCCTGTAGTTTGTTCAAATTTTGAATTTGGTCTCTAGAACAAACTATCTACACCGATAGTCCCTAACTTTTTATTTTTATAACACACATAATCCCTCCACAATAAAATGATAGTTAGCAATCATTATGATTCGAATGGTGAAAGCAACGATCCTTGTCTTTGGAGCCCCTTAATTCCGAAGAAGGTAAACATTTTCATTTGGCGTTTTCTTAAAGAGGTTATTCCCGTAAGATTTAATCTTTCTAAGAGAGGGATTCAGTTACAGTCTTTAGAGTGCATCCTGTGTGAAAAAGGTGTCGAAACAATGGATCACTGTTTCTTTTCTTGTTCGGTGGCAAGCATTCTTTGGAGGAAAATTTGGGCTTGGTGGGATCTTAAAGCTCCACGACTTTCATCGGTGGCTGATTTTAAAATGCTGATCAAACAAGAAGGATCTCTTCGCAAGGTTGGTATAATTTTTTAATCAGTATGCGCTGTGGCTCTTTGGCATCTTTGGAAGTGGCGGAACGAAATTCTTTATGCTGAGGATGAGGTGAAAACCAAGAAAAAAAGGTGAAGATCCATTCCCTTGTGTTCAAAATATCTCGAAGCTTTGGATGGGAAACAGAAATCGTAAATTTCATCTTAATTGGGAAGTTTGGTCTTCCTCTCCCTATTTTATTTAGTCTCTTTGTTTTTGTCCTCCCGCCTGTTTGGGATAGGTTTGCTTTTTTACTTTGGTTTTGTAAGGGGATGTCTTGGTTCCGTCTTTTTGCCCCTCGTATTTTTGGTTGCGTTGTATTTTCTTGTATCTAGCTTCTTGCTAGATTTGTTTTTGTTTTAATATAGTGGTTGGCTTGGTGAGGGTGWTGGYCTTGCCGAAGCTCTCTTCCTTGTCCTTCCTTTTGCCTTTCAAAAAAAAGGTTAACAATCATTATGAAGGACTCACTGGTGTTTAAACAAACTTGAAGGACCAAAAATGCAATCTACTTTAATACACAATGTAATTCATGTATTCTTTTTAATTTTTTATTAAAAAAATATTTCATATATTCAATTATAAGTCAAATATATTAAATAATTGTATTTATTTAAAACCATAAGATTTATAAAAAGATCAACGTTAAAAAATCTGAAGTTTAGAAAAATAAAAGAAATCGAAATAAACTCGCGTATCATTTGAGTTGAGAATTAAAATATGCAAGTAAAAATTGAAAATTAAGTTCAGTTAACTAAAAATATTAATATATAGTCAAACTATAAATAATTTCAATAACAACAAAATATATTTTATAAGTCAAGATTAAAAAAATACTAATTATTTCAATAATTAAGAAAAACTATGAGTACAGCAAAATTATGTTTGATACGATGCCAAAAAAATTTAGCGTCCTAAACTCCATGCTCTGGCAACCATCTACCGCATGGGTTTCGATCTCTATTCTCTGGTTGTGGTCCCCGAATCCACACCGACGGCCACCCCTCTCACCGTTGTCACCTTCCACCGCTACAACTTTTCTGCATCTTCCCTCTGCTGCAACCTTTCTCTCTTCAACTGTCCTAATCAATGTACAGTTGTGGTCCCCCATGTTGCCGGAGCCCGGTGGTGTACATCACCACTTTCTCATGTTGCAATGTACTCATCATTCCCCTTTCCTTCCTCCTCTGCACCAGACCCCAATGGGTTGGGGTTGGGTACGTCGGAAGAACGGCGAAAGGGGTGGGGGTTGGTTTGCCGGAAAAATGGTGCAAAGGGGGTTGAGTACGCCGGAAAAACGATGCAATGGGTGGGGGTCGAGTATGCCGGAAAAACGGCGCAAGGGGTAAGGGTTGGATATGCCGGAAAACGGCGCAAGCGGTGGAGTTTGGGTACGCCGGAAGACGACTCACGGGGTGGGTTGGAGAAAGAAATAGATATATTAAGTTGCAATTTTGATCCCTGTGGTTTGTTGTTTTTACTTTTTAGTAGAAAGCAAAAGAAAAAGCAAGTAGAAGGACTAGAGTCCTCATGTGCAAGTCACATAGGGGTTTTAACGGAAAAAAATCTGACGGAGTTGGTCTAAGAGACCCAAATCATAAACGTTTACATATCACGAGGGTTTTCTTGCAATCAAAATTTTATAGGGACCAAAACCAAAAAAAAAAAAACAACTCACCACAGGGACCAAATTTGCATTTTACTTTATTATTAATTTTCATAATTTAATATATACTATTTGTATCATGTATATATCGTCATTAAAAAAAGATAAATAAAAGCACTAATAATTTAAAAAAAAAAAAAAGGTTTACGCCAGAAACCGACCCTACCTACATACAACTTAATTAAACTTGCTAATTTCAATCACCAAAACCTTCAAATCAATCACAAATTCCTTTCAAATAATTTAAACACATCCAACCCCACCCCAACATATATAATATAAACATATAATAAATAAATAATATTTTGAAACAGAGTTAATTTAATCTTAAACGCTTCAACTCAACCTGGAACGTAGGACTTGACGATAACGTCCGTCTTGCAAGTATCCTGATATCATCTCTTGAGCAATCTCGTGAGATTCGAACAAGCTCCCATAACGCACCACCCGATATCATCTCTTTCGCATTTACTTCTATAATTCAAACAAAATTCTCACTATCTTGTTTTCAATTATCACTCTCCAAAAAAAAAAACCTTCAGTTCCAAGAGAAATGCATATATATATGACGAAAGCTTACACACCATGTTGTGCCATGTGGCAAAGAGCAAGCTCGATGTGACGCCTGATCGGTGACGCTTCATTGTTAGCATTCTTCACGATCCACGGAAGGGCACCATCCTCAATCAAATGAGATTTTCCGCTTTTAATTCCTTCAACCAGACGTAATTAACACAATGATTTCAGAACTAATCAAATAGATTAGAATGAATCACCATCAAGAAATTAAAATACCAACCTTGAGTGGATGCTCTCGACTCGCATTTTGCAAAGTTAGCGATTCCTCGAGCAACTTGAGCAAGAACGTCTGGATGTCTACATCTCACCATTCCTAACAACGCTCTAATACCACCTTCAGCTCTTAACATCACCTGCAATTTGTCTGATTTTTTTTTGTTTTATCATCGTACCAACGGTTATTCCTTTAAAATCGCCATCATTATTGAAGTAGTTTAAGGTTTCTAACTAGATTACCATTGCCACAAAGGTTAGCCACCGCTCCAGCCACCATTCGAAGAGTTTGAGGATCGTCAGCATTTTCTGCTGTCATTGCTAGCAAACTAATACCCCCTTGAGCCATTATCAGCTCCTGGTTGGTTTCTGCAATCGTATTTCATTCTTAAAATTTTGCGATTCCCATAAACCATAACTCATTCTAATGCACATATATATATATATATATATATATGTATATATATATATATACAGGTCCAGAGAAACAGCAAAAAAATAAAAAAACTGAAGAATACCCTGATAACTGTTCATATGGACGGTATGTACATATGCATACAAGTAATTAATAAACAATATGTCCGGTATGTACATGTGCATAACATGCATAGATGCATAAAAACCAAGAAACAGCTTCAGTTACTTGTATGCACATGAGTATACCGTCTAAATTAATGGTTTCCAGGGTGTTCCTCTATTTTTCATTTTTTTGGGTTCCCCTGAMCCCCCTCTCTCTCTCTCTCTCTCTCTCTCTCTCTCTCTMTATATATATATATATATATATRTGTGTGTGTGTGTGTGTATGTATATACCGTTCATTGCAAGGTTTGCAATTGCGCCTGCTGCAACTCTGTGGATGTTCTCATCCTCGGAGCTCGTAAGAAGAGCTAGCAAAGATGTAAGGCCACCGGCTTCTACAATCTTTTCCTGATTGGTTGCTGCCCAGATAGAACAAATCCGTTATGTAACGATATGATGTCAAAATGATATAATCTGATAAAAGAGAAGACAAATATACTCTTTTTCATGGTTAAACATAAGTTCCAGAATACCTTCAGCGGCCAAATTTGCAATAACCTTTACAGCATGGATTCGAACATCAGGGTCTTCTGCTTCCAGTAAAGATAGAATCTTTTGCAGTCCGACTGTTAAAAAGCGTATTTAATTAGTAAATCAGAATCGATATATGTTGACAAACGAGAGCCAGATTACCATTTTATAACGGAAATTTGATGATCACCTTGTTCAAAGAGTTTTGCCACTGACCCTTTCTCCTGCTCGCCCGAATATTTCATCTGTTGCTGACGAACTGGAGAGATAAGAGAACCCATTTCTCCAGTCATGTCTATACTATGACCACTCTCGAGTTGTTTTCTCGTCTATAAGAAGTAACGATATATAGTCAGATATCGCATAATGCAGTTTGGCAAAAATGCAAACCGCAAACTGCACCATGAAACTAAACCGCGTTTTTCGGTGCAGTGTTGGCGGTTTGTGCGGTGTGGGCGGTTTAGATGAACACCCCTCATTTTTTGCATATACCTCATCGGCATCAAAACTTATTTGCAACAGCTGATTTTGTAACATGGATATTTCTTCTTCGAGCTTTTCTCTCTGATGAATCTCGTCTTCCAGCATCTTGCGAAGCTTTAAGTTTTCAGCACTCCCTGCTGCCTGCCAAACCAAAATATATCTTGTCAGCAGTCGTTGCACAAAAAGAATAATAGGGCGTTATATAGCAGCGCTCGTAAGAGCATTTTAGAGGGCATAAATTGTACCTCCGATCGTTTCCATTGCATTACTTGATTTCGGAGATTACCGATTTCTTCATCAGCAGCTTTCCGTAAGAGTATTTCATTCTGTAGCAACTTCTTAACTTCGATAAGTTCTGCACTAGCCGACGCACCTTGAGCCTGGATATCAACATATATAAAACGTGCAGTTAGTTGTTAATAAGTAATCAGTAATCCCGTGCTTTATACGTTAAGAGATCCTTTCCAAATACCTCGCCATTCGATTTCTTATGAAAGCTTTCATCTTTAAATCCAACTTTGACTCTTCCATCTCCCTGCTTTTCTTGATTTACCGCCAACTGTGCTTCAAGTTTCTTTATCGATTCCGTACAGTCTCTTTGATATTTCAACCTCTCCTTCTGAAGACGTAACATGATACAGACAAGAAGAAAGAATAAGTATATGTTGTATTCATATATGCATAACAGTGGAGGAAAAGTATTCACACATGAAGTTACCTCCAAAGTATCTGCATAAAGTTTTTCAGCTTCGGATATTTGCTTCTTTGCTTCCAGCCCGATTTTTTCAACCTCATCTTGATATGCTTTTTGCTGCCTTTCATGTTCGGCAATGAGAGATTCTACTTGTACATCAAGCTTTCTAGCCAAACTCTTGTAATCGAATTCTTCCTTTATCTTCAACATATTTTCTACTTTCATAGCCTACACAAAACAGAAACCCAATGAAATTATCAGAAACTCAAAATAATCGGTAAAAACGGGTGATTTTCGTGTGGTAATCCGCATAATAACTTACTCTTTGCCCGAACATTATCGTACTCGATGTCTCTCCTCTATGACGAGGAGATGGACCAATGGTGATAACAAGAGAAGTTCTTGCCGTGCCTGCATATATTTAACCACGTCAATGATACGATTCTCGGTGCAAGTTTTTTGGGGTGAAACCGTGAAGAAAAGAAAGTTATCTCACCTCCAAATGAATCTCGAAGCAATCTTGTAAGTTTGGAATCACGAACTGGAACATGAGAACTGTTTTCCGCCAATGCATTTATACATTTTCCGAGTGCACTTAGAGAAAGATTTATAGATTTAGCTTCCTCTAACGTATGTCCCTCACTTCCTGGAAAAATAACAACAAAATACAATATTTTTAGCATGAAAACGGGTGATAGTAATTAACAAAAAGCAAATAAGTTATGCTTCATACCCGACTTATCAATACGCTCGGAACCCGCAAGGTCCACAACGATTAGTTTCCCCTTGCGCACAACTGGCGGCTTCATCGTTCTACTCATGTGGGACTTGCTACCATGTTCACCAGAACTAGCGCCGACATCTCTTTCCTTCACAGACTTCTTAACATGCACCTGCACCAAGAATGGAATTCTGGTGATGTCCATGTTATATTAATATTTGAAGTTCAGTAAGGGACTGTTTGTTAGCAGCTTAATGAGCTGTAATGAGACTCGTAGCTTATTTAGTCAACTATACATGACTCTTTGGTAGTGGCTTAATGATATAGAAAGTGGCCTATTCGGTAAGCTTCTAGGGGGAGCTTTATGCAGAAAACCAACTTTTTTTTCCAAATTGCCCTTCCCGATTAAAAACATGCTCATTCCATTCATGAAAAACCCTCCAAAACAAAAACCTTCTCAATCTATACAGACAGATTAATCCACATAGACAGCTTTATCCATACAAGACTTAATGGAAAACCAACCAAACAGCCCCTAAGTAAATAACAATCATCTCCCTGATATGGAATGATAGAATATTTTACCAAGGAACATATGGTCTCTCACCATCAGAATGGCGTGACTACGAGATGATTCTGTATTCAGCTTCGTGTTAGCAGCAAATCGATGTGCTTCTCCTAACCGTAGTAGTTCAACAAAACTTGGTTGATCCCTGACTTCTATCAAACTCGCACCCGGAAGTGAAATATCTCCACTTTTTGGATCTTCCGTTATAGATAAATTATCGTTTGTAGGATCAAGAAGATCTTGTATTGTCTCCATATAGAGCTGCAAGTAGGACACGGAGATCAAATCTGTTTCTGGGGAGATTTCAGCAAATATATCCTCCATTGCCCGAACCATTATTCCACGAGCAGAAGTATCCTCATCCCCGAGTCGTCCAAGTGTGTACGTTTTTCCTGTACCGGTCTGTCCGTATGCCATGACCGTTCCGTTATATCCATCAAGAACACTCTGCAGAACAGATGACACATGATTGCATTTTCAAAAAGCGAATGCTCTGTAATATTGTGCTAAAAATACAGTAAAAAATGGTAAAATTTCTTGAAAATAAGATGGTTATGACAAAGTTCGTTCGCAAGTATTGCAAACCTCGACAACGGGTTTTGCGACAACTTCATAAACACGCTTCTGAGATGCAAATTCAGTAAGAACTTCATCGAATTCGAATGTATCTGAATCCCAATTATTCCTTCGAAGTTTCAATCTTTTAAGCTGAAATAACACAAGAATGCAAAATTCGATTTGATAAAGTTTCAAGACAAGAACGAAATTCCAAAATACACGATAACCATAAAAAATAAGCTACAAACATGACATTGGAATACCTCCGGCTGCAATTCCACACAATCGGCAAAATCAGCATCGGTTGATTGCTCCTCACTATTGCGTGGTCGTAATCTTACAGCCACTCGAACTCTCCCAGAAACTAATGTGTGAATACAATATGTGAGTCTAGCATCTATTACTTCCGGCGGTCAGGGACAATCTTTTTATCAACAATATGGAAAAACAAGGGTTATCCAAGATATATAAAGATGTTTCCACTATTACCCAAAGAAATTGTGATTACCACAATTTAGAGGTAAAATTCCAACTTGCAACTGAAGGGTATAACCAGATTCTATTGTCATACATCAAAGAACATAACGGCATTGTATATTGACGACTCCAAATTGTGCAAAGCCACGTGAAGGATTCATCCACACATGATACATATACATACATGGAAGAAGCAAAATGTCTGTGGAGTCCAACACGATGAATAATACTTGTGGAAGCGTTCTCCCAACACGCAAGATTCTTGGATCGGTTTGTGGGCCAAACATACCGTATGTGGGAAGGAAGCTTCTACAAGCACTGTTTATCCATATGATTCCACAATGAACGTCATGTGTTCTACACACTTCTTTGTCCTCCAAAATATCCAGGCTTCCAAATTTGACTCCTATCAGCTCCCAACCACCACCTCAAAACACTTGGTGACATTATCCCTTCCATCGAACCTTCCCAGGCATTGTCAAGCTCAAGGTTATACACATATCCATTTTGGAGCCATCAAACTGGCCTTACCTTCATGGAATCTAGCAAAGTGAACACATCTTGCGAAAACCCCATCTCCAAGACGCAACCCTTAAGGCCCGCTATATAATAAGCTTACAATCTAGTGTGATTCAAGACTTCCACAAGCCTATTTCCCCATATATGTTACAGTTTTTGCAAGTTATTCTAATCAAGAAAATATTCAAGATTCTTCAAGTGTTGTCCTTTTTGAACTTCCAAGATAATATATGGACATAGTGTAAAGAATGCATTTACCAAAGCTCCAATCTTTCTTTCACTTCTATGATCTAACAAATAGAACAATGATGAGAAAAAATTTCAGGATATGAACACTTACAAATTTTACCAAAAAATGGTCTTCCACCTTTTTCTCCAAGAATACTATTCCACCAACGTAGGGACCAATGTTGTTCAAAACAACCACTTAATTTCAAACATAGTTACTGAAAAACGAATGTTCTATTCTCAAGAACCTTAAAAAGCATAACCTTTTAGGAATTCTAGGTCAACCCATTCTCAAATTATGCAAAATTTTAACTTATTACCTAGAAATAATAGCACAAATCTAGCACAAAGAAAATCCCAGTTACCAATTGTTCAGAATTATATGATACCTAAATAAATAAATGGGTAACAATAACAAAATCATACATGTATACAGACATAAGCGTAATTGATAGTAAACATAGAGAGAAGGCAGAGAGAGACCTCCAGGAGTATCTTTCTGGTGTCCACCAGCGGAATTACCACTGGAACCGGTGCTGTTACGGCGGACACCAGAGGTTACCGATTGCTTAGATTTGTAACCAGAATAAGATGACGATGATGATGAGGATGAAATTGACTTCGTCTTCAGACCACCATTCTTGTAACTATGATTATTCGCCATTTTATACCAAATTCATAATTATTAAGCTTCAGAAACACCTCTTTTTCACACACTAACACACGCAGTGAAGCTGTACAGGAAAAGGATTTATGGGGGAGTTGAATTTTGAAGCAAAGAGGTTCGGGTGAGAGAGAGAGAGAGAGAGGGTGGGGGTGGGGGTGGGGGTGGGGGACATGGGTTTCTTGCACTTTAATTTCATTTTCTTTGGCGAACTAACGTAATTTACCTTTTGGGGTCCAATGAAATGGAATATGTACAATTTGATCCTTTGTGTTTAGTCAAACCAAATTTGGACCTTCAAGTTTAAAATATTTCAAGTAGACCATATATCTAAACTTTTTTAGATTCAAACCGATCAAATATTGGACCTATAAAGTGTCTTTTAAGTGGGAGGGATGCAATAATTATACAGTTGTTTATGTGCGAACAATTTGCTAGATCTGTCCTGTCTGGGACGCTAGAAAAGCAAGCTTGGATTACCATTCTTGAAAAAATAGGCGGATCTGAACTGACTTGTTAAAATTAATGGACAGACATTAAAGATGGAAAAAATCTGGGCAGATTGATTGATATTTTTATAATAATTAACTAGTATAATTAAAATTTATAAATATATTGAAAATTCTTGATACTTATCAATATCCACTTAATTATGACTCGTGATAATAACAAGTATTTAAAAATCTAAAAAGTAAAAACATAATTACCTCAATGATCAATTCTTTATTATCTCATCTGGTCATTTTCTTTAGCGATACTTCATACTTTGCAAAAAAAAATCTACTGTATTTACATTGTTATGTATTTATGTCTAGTTTCAAATTGGGAAGTTTGTTATGCATTTTAAATTATTTTACATAACTTGTGATTTTATATAAATCTTATTTTTTTTAAAAATATTAAAAAAAATTAGGCTCGTTAGCTCGTAGGCAAACCCAACCCGTTTATAAGACGAGTATGGACAAGTTTTCATGCTCGCAAAAAAGGGTTTGGGTTTGCCATATTAGACGCATTAGACAAGAAGAATAAGTTAGATTTAGCTCAAGCCCACAAATAATGAACTCTGAATAATCATCAACCAATTTAGAACGAAGTTTTTGTGATGGTGGACACTTAAAAGTCAAAGAACTAAAAGGAGTATAATTTTCCGTCACTTTCCTTATTATTAATTTTGAGTCAATAAATCAATTATGCGACCAGGGCTGACAAACCCTTTGCTTGGTGGGTTTTCATTTTCCTCAATGCATGATTTAACTTAATTCTGACATAAAATGAGTCCATATAGCATCACCCTTATATGATTTGCGAAAACAGATAAAAACAATCACATAATACCAAAGTTCTAAATAACGTGAGCCATGGTGTGGCGCGGCGGCGAGGTCAAACCTCAAGCCTTAGGAGCCACGGCGAGGTCACGGTGTTTTTTCAAGACGTGACTTATGTCGACAAATCTTTATATCATATAAATGATTGTACATATAAACATATATTTTCTACTATTACTTAACAAGTCATTGGTATTAAATAATTTAAATTGAGTTATATATTAGAAACTAACAAATAAAACATTCAAAAAAGTAAGAAAAATCAAATATTATGTTACAAAAACTGCACATTATGTCATGGCGTGTCACAGGCTTAACGTGACATGAGATACAAGTCTTAAGTCATGGCGTGCCACAACGCTGTTACGACGAGCTTTTTTGAACACTGACAATAAACTTATTACATGAATTTTGGTAAATGCCAATATTCTAATCGAGTGGCTAAACACAAACTTTTTAAAGCTTAAGGTCTAAAATGAACGAAAGACCAACATTAATCACCCACGATCCCTTATAAGACCATTTTGACGTGGGGAAGTGATGGTGTGTATAAAATGACGGGATTGCCCCTGAAGGTTTGACCACGATTAACGGTCTCTTTTGCTTTTAAGACTTTGGAATTTTATCTCATATTTATTTATCAACTTTTCTAAATATAATATTTATATTGTTTAAATTATTTTTAAAAATGTTTATGTTAATTTCTTAGTTTATAAAATACAAAAAAAAAAAAAAATTATTATTTTTCCTCTCAAATATGGAAAGAAGACAAGCGGATTTATGACACGTTTTTTTCTGTTTTGCATGTGAATTATAATTTTAGGATGAAGGATGAAATACTTTCATAATTAGGTTTGGAGATATTGATTTTTCCCACCATTTCAAATTTTATTTTATTTGTTAGGAATTAATTATTGATTTTAAAACATTAAAAACGAATATAGTTTTCGAAAATGGATTTTTTTTTATTTTCACAAAAATAATTACTTATTTTGCAAGACTCATGGGTTGTTTGTTAACCTTTTAATAGTTCTATTAAGAAACAACTTTTAAATCATTAAGAGATGAATCTTGTTTGACAAAAAAAAATTTGTCTCTTAATGGTTTTAAAACTCTCTGAATGATTTTGTATCATGGGCCTCCCTTAACCATTAAGCGCCTTAATTTCATTGTAAACAATTACCAAACAATTATATTTTATTTTGCACTATATCATGAGAGCCTCTTAATCATTCTGACCATTTAACCATTCAGCACCAAACCATTCAGCAACTTCCAAACAACCACTCAAATGTAATATTTTAAAATGTCAATAATAACCTAAATTAATGGTCGATAATTCGTTTCTATTTTAGAAAACCAAAAACGGTTATTTTAAGGTTGAACGCCAAATCTGTGTTTCGAAAGGACTAGTTTGAAATTTTATTTGGTTCCTTAGAAAGATAAATTTTGGTTTTTCTTAAAATTAAGTGGGTATTTAGTTAGAAGTATTAAGTAGTAATCAATAAGAATGAAAATAAAAGGAATTGTTTGGTTTTATATAATATAATAGGTCATTCCACCAGAAGCCCAATTTTTCATTCTAGTTTAAACCGGAAAGAATGAAAAATCATTCCAATTTTCTTTCTCTGTCATTTTTATTTTCATTCCGCATATTTTATTTTAGAAAAAAGAAAAACAAGATTTTAAAAATTACTTCTACAAACAATTATTTGGTAAGCGTTTTCTCACTTACTTTATCGGATAAAGTTATACTCCATCAAAACGACATTATATGTAATGATTTACCGGTAAGTGCTGACCACATAAGAGTCATTGTCTTCACTGACTGAGTAAGACTCTCGGTCTTTACTAGAACATTTATCGGGTAACATTTTCAGTTATTACCATTTTCATTTGATAAGGTAAACGGTCTGATAAGTACTTATCAGGTAAGCATTTAATAAACGATCCATTAGTTTGGTATTTGGTTCTGATCAAACATTTTAAAACTACGTATTATAAAAGAGAACTTATTTATAACATATTTAGGGTTATATGGTATAATTTGTGGAGAATGGCCTACACAATAGATATATGACAAAAAGTGTATCTAAAAAATCTAGTTTGAAACATTAATCAAAGTTTATTAAAAGCACGCCCCACTTTCATATTTTATAAACTTTTAAATAAAACAAATGGAAAAGACCATACTTTCTTATTTCTTCACATCATTAACTTGTTTTTGACCTATTTTTTTTAAATGGCAAATTGCATGAAAAAGTAATGTATTTTGACTTGATTTTTATTTTGGATAACGTATTTTCAAAACTTCCATTTTGGTACCTAAGATGTAAAGTTTTAAACATTTAAGTACCCAGGTAACTGGTTGAAGTATTAACCGGTTATCATACTGATGTGGCGAGTGATGTGGTATCCAACTCGGTATTATTTGTTGACCTAGTCACTGACGTGGATTTTTTTTTAATCTAAAATTGGTTTTTTTTAATCTAAAATTAGTCTTCACTGGGTTAACCGGGTACTTAAATGTTTAAAACTTTACATCTTAGGTACCAAAATGGAAGTTTTAAAAGTACGTTACCCAAAATAGGAATCAAGTCAAAGTACGTTACTTTTTCATGTAATTTGCCCTTTTTTAAATTTATGTTTTTAAAATAATTGGATATTTATTTTGATTTGATATATGATTTGATTATTTCAAAATGAAATTAAATATTACTACATATTGTAATACTAAAATAACAGATGTGTTTATTTAAATATTATTAAAAACGTAAAGGTCTTGTAGATTGAAATTTGTATATTTAATGCTTTGTATTTTGACTTGTTTTATGAAAGCTTATTCTTCAAAGTATATGTATTTAAGATTATAGATAATTATATATATATATATATGTATATATATATATATATATATAGGGTTGGGTTCACGTGAGAGCAGCCTGTTTTCGTGAGACCCGTGAGACCACATTTTTACACGTAACCTTCACAGCAAAAACACTGTGAAGGTTTAAAAAAAGTCGAACCTTCTCAGCAAAAACACTGTGAAGGTTTTAAAAAGTCACCTTCACAGCATTTTGTTGTGAAGTTTCAAGTGTAAAATGTTGGTCTCACGGGTCTCACGAAAACAGGCTAGTCTCACATGATCCCAAGTCTATATATATATATATATATATATAGGCCTCACGCTATTTAGAACCTTGCTTACCGGATAAGATTATTGATTCTTGTCATAGCTATTAGTAAGGTAAGTAATATTTATAAGTTCTTATCCAAGAAACATTTAGGGTGTATACTAAACGTTTATCCGGTAAATGCTTAAAGGATCACTTTACGTTATCAAATTAACATGATAATTATTGAGAATATTACTCGGTAAGAGAAATAACAAAGATTGAGAGTCTTATCCGGTATGTGTGGAAAAAAGATCGTGCTTACCGGGTTTAAGACTCTTACCAACAATCCAATTTGATGTTCAAAAATGTTACATGATAAGGTAAGTGTGGATAATTTTGTTTATGGAAAAGCGATTATCCGATAAGCTTTGGATAAACGGCCCCTAGTAAACAGCCTCTAAGTTTTAGTATCAATATATGATATATTGACATAAAAAAACATTTATACATTAATATGAACACACACAAGACATTAAAATTCTAAACCAATGTGCTAACGAGACTCCTTAAGAGTAGGTATGGTGGACTTATAAAGAGAGGGAAAGTCGTTATCTATAATGACATTTAAGCTTTTCTTTTTTCTTCTTAAAGAAGTCAAAGACTAAAATGGTTAAATGTCGGAAAATGTTACATGACATTTAAGTTGTCATGAGAATTTTAATTAATTAGTCCATGATGGTGTTTTTTTACACGTTTTTGACTTTACATGTTGCCATATTTATAAAAATCGTATAAAACAGAATCGAGAAGGTTGAGAATCTATATACTATAGTATTATTATGCGTAAGATAACATATAAAAGATCGTTTTATCCTTTATAAATTATATAAAAATAAATATCAATTTGTACATAAGAAATTATATATATAATTGTTGTTATTGAATAAAATATTAGTTGATAATATATATATATATATATACAAGTTTAATTATTTTGGAGCTCTAAGTTTGTGAGATTCGTAAGAACAATCCTTAAGGGTTTTTTCTATTTAAGTGTAATATTTATTGTACTGATTAATGTATATTTATTTCACAATCTGTTCGTTGTGTATGTATTTGGTTCATGATATGAAACTTTTTACGTGTAAATTTTGTTTTACAAACACGTCAAAAAGCCCACATTGTGAATCGAGTACATGTGAAACAAACAAATTCTAAAACAAATATATGTTAGTCAAATTTTAAAGTTCTCAAATGATTAAACTCCTATCTATACACCTAATAAATAAGTAACTTTGGGGCTACGTGTCATCAAAATAAACTCAAAAAAGTGTGCACTCCGCACCTTTCTTATTTGTTTGATATATATTATGATTACATTGGTCAACAAATTAATCTCATTACACTTAAATGACATTAGTGATACAAATCACCAACATGAAGTCATCAGACATTGGTTATTTATTAGACTTGCAACATAACTCTGAATTGTTTTGTTCCAGACTTGGTTCCATAGTTTATTCTCGGACTTAGAATACAACTTTGAACTCCTCTACATAGTGGAAGTTCAGAGTTACGTTTCTGAGTTATAAGAAGTCAGAATTCTTGTGACTCAAAGTTATGCTCATAGATACTTTCTAGACTTAGAAGACAACTACGAATTCCTTTTATTCAGAGTTAAATCCAGAGTTATTTTCCATCCTAACAATAAAACTCTGAATTCTTGTGTTTCAGAGTTAATGTTCAGAGTTTTCTTTTAGACATAGGGAAAAGTCTCAACTCATTTTCCTCATTTAAAATACCCCACAGGTTCGAACCTAGTATATTATATAAGTATAACCCTTACGATGTATTATATTAGGGTTATGTTTCGGTGAAAAAGAGAGTTAAGATAAGAAACGTAAGAAGGAATCTCCACCCTTGGATGTATATTAGGATAAGATGCACCAGGTCAATCCCTCGTATCAAGCGCGATTCATGAGTGTGTTTGAGATTAAAGGTGATCAAAAGTCCAGATCCTTTTTTACACTTCTCATTTTAACTCTTTTTCTCACACAATACTTCGTATATTATATTAATGGACATATATAACCCTGTAGGAAGCAGAAGTTGCATGTTAGCAAGGGTGTTTAGGGACCAAATCACATGTTGGCAGTTGAAGCATCTTTATGACAAATTACATACCTTTCCCACATTTAATGTCATCACATCTCCATATCACCATATATTATATAACCCCCCTTCTCCCTTTTTCCCTCTCCTCATTTCTCCTTAACAAAAAGATCATGTCTTTATAATAAAAGTTTTGTATTTCCTTTCCATTTTTATGCCATATGTAATAAGTAAAGTATCTATATTTCACCGATATAAATACATGGTATATTAGAAACCGAACTCTGATAGTTTCATTAAGAGACAATCTCTGAATTTTTAAGAGGTGAATCTTGTTTGGCAAAAAAAAGTCTGCCTCTTAATGATTTTAAAACTCTCTGAATGATTTTGTATCACGGGTCTCCCTTAACCATTAAGCGCCCTAATTTCATCGTAAACAATTTTCAAACAATTATATTTCATTTTGTACTATATCATAAGAATCTCTTCATCATTCTGATCACTTAATCATTTTGCACAAAATCATTCAGCAACTGTCAAACAGTCCCTAAGTTTTTTTTTTTTTTAAAGTAACACATCATAATCACATGGATTTGAATCTTGTATCCTTATCCATATACCATTTACAATAAAGTATTTCCTTTCGTTTTAAACTTTATTTATATAAGATATATAAAGCAAAATCAGATGAGTTGAACCGAGTCTTTGATCAAGCTTTTTATACGTCGAGTCGTCTTCTAGGACATAGAGTTTTGAGTACCAAAATAAAACTTCTTTGCCACTTCTTATTCTTCAACTCCCACTAAATCACAAGCTTTTCTTTTAAAAGATTTGTATTCCCCACCCACCCCACCACTTGTTAGTGTCCACAAGACCCTTTGCATAAAGTCACCAAGATGGCACTGTAGCTAGATGCCTCCTTCAAAGGACTCAATTGTGCATTATGTTATGTTATTTTCTCTCTTTTTTTCTCGTCATTATCATTAATATATTTGAATCGATATTAATAAAAAAACATCAGGATATGCATTTTAAGTTGAAATTAAACCGTGACATCATTTTGTTTGAATTATTTTGTGAACGATATATGATCTACTAACTATACTACTTAATTATTTTGTTGTGTTATATCAGTATTATTTAACTCGATTTTGATACGAACGGTGTATATAACAAGAGCTACAATAATAATAGATGGTTTTTGATGAGAACATATGATTGCTTGTTTGAATTGAGAAGGGTGGCAAAGATTTTGGAAAATGAAAGGTAGTTGGAAGATGGTACTTTGCAGTTTGCACACACAAAGAGATGCATGTGGTGCCATGGTGGTACATATATGACATGGTGTTGATGGGGTTTGGGCCATATTGATTCAGCCCATCAAGTACCATCTTCCCTTTTTTCATTATTTAGGTCAGAAAAAATAAAAGCAACGAAACCGAAGCTAAGGTTTGACAATTAAAACCAAGGAATCATTTGTACCATTTTCATGGGATGTTGCCATCAGCTTCCATGTTGATTATTCGTCGCTTTAGAAAGCGACGTATTATCGATCATTCAGTTAAATGTTATTAATCTTTTACCGTTAATTTTTTGTAAGAAGAATCTTATATAATTTTCATGTATAAAATGTAGATTAAAGTTATATAACTATCAAATATCATAGTTGTAAAAAGTAAGAGTTGTAAGATTGAAGCAACAACTTTCTTAAGAAGACGTGAAAAATCACATTCAAGAAGTACGGAAATTTCTTTATTTCAAGTGATTTATTGGTACTTTATTAAATAATAAATAAATATATCATTTGAACATAGATAAATTAAATTTAACATTCCAAGCAACAACGTGAGAACGACAATTGAGACACTAGGAGAGAAGTGTCATATAAGGTAGCGTTTGGTACGCAAACATGATTGGACATGACAGAACAGAACAAGACAAGAGGGTAGAACTGGACATGACAGCACAAGAATATGTCTAGTGTTTGGTATGATTAGGACTGGACGGAACAGAACTAGACAAGCTACCTCCAAGAGTTATTTGATGATTTTAAATGTTATATAATAGTTATAGATAACACAAATAAAGTAAATAATTAAAGAATTTAATTTATAAATATGTGTACACAATTTTCATATAAATGAATACATACATATATAATGGTACCAAATTTGAATGAAAAATTTGATATAATTGATAGTAGTAGTAGTGGCGATGGAGGTTGAGGTGGAGGTGGTGGTGGCAGACATTAATAGTGCCAATGAACGGTGGTTATGGAGATAGAGGCAGTGGTGGTTGGTGGACAACGGTGGTTATAGAGGACATGAAGATGGTGGATTGTGGTGGTGTTGGCAGTTGACAACGGTGGATGAGATAGTTGTAGCTGATGTAGTGAATATAGTTGTTGTGGTGGTTATAGTGGAGGTGAGGTGGCAATGAATGGTGGTGGCTGATGGTGTTGAGGAGGTTGTTGCAGTAAAGGAGGAGTTGGAGGTGGCCGACAGTGGTTGTAGAGATCATGGAGGAGGTTGTTGCGGTATAGAAGGATTTCGAGATGGCCAACGGTGGTAGTCGATAGCCATGTAAAGGTGGCAATGGATGATGGTGAAGGAGATTGTTGTAGTAGAGGAGGAGTTGGAGGTGGCAAATGGCGGTAGTGGTGGTGGTCGATGGTCGACTATGATGGAGGTGGCGATGGACTTGGTGGGCGGTGGTTGTGGAGGCAGTAGAGGATGTTGTTGTAGTGGAAGATGAGGTGTCGATGGTGGTGACTGCTGCCGAAACTAGAGGTGATGACCATTAAAACAAATACCATATTAAAGTTATATATCGAACTAGGATAAATTAGTAATATTTTAGTTTATGTCTCATTCTTGTCCTATCTTGTTCCACCTATTTGAACGGAACAAGAAAAAAGTCTCTTTTGTCTCATGATGGGACAATGGGTACTTGTTCTATCCCATGCTGCACCAAACATGTACCAAACGCAGCCTAATGGCACACCCATTTTGCTACAAAACAATGATATTAAACTTATTTTCAGTTTATAAGTAGCATTTATAGTTATATAACACAAAGAAGGTATATATATTTGTTGTTTATGAGTTATAACTCTAGAGATCAAGCAACTTGTGCATTGTGATCTTTGTAATGGTTTCTCGTTCGTCTATCATTCATGATAGTGATAATGTTTCTGTGATAATACTATTTTTGTGTTAGTTTTTTTTATTCATCATGGGTTGGAATGAATTATGGTTATGGTATATTGCATAGGAAGGATGGAGAACATGAACATAAGGTTGAAGAGAGCTGATAATTAAGAGGTAAAGAGAGGCTACCATAAAGAAGAAAATGGCACCCAGACCATCGCACGGAAATAGAAAATGGCAGATAATGATTAGCAAAGCAAACACAAAACACAAAACACAAAAAAAAAAAAAAAAAAAAAAAAAAAAACCCTAACGCTAAAAGAGATGCTACCATAAAGAAGAAAAACAAAAAAGTATCTAAAACCAATCCAATAATACCTTCCCACTTTTATTATGGAATCCATCACGATCACCATCACCATCACCATCACCATCTTCTTTATGATGCTTTGGTCCATCACCATGCCAACAAACCCAATCAAGTTCTAAAAGCAGGCCCTCTACTTCCTAATTCAACTACCCAACTCAACCCGACCCGGACCATATCAGATCCGGTTTACCTTATCAGCTTTGATAACCGGGTTAGCCTTCGCTAATGCTTCTCTTCCTGTTATCTTGAAATCGAATCCACAATTATGCGTCTCTGGATACCTATGGCTTCCACAGAATGTCTCACCGCACTTGCACTTGAATCCCAGCACACTAACCTTTTTATTACAACTCAAGCACCGATTCGACACCTTTACCTTCGCCTTAGCCTCCTCCGCCACCGCCGGTTGTGAGACGGTTTCAGTTCCAGACATCGGAGATGAAGACGAAGACGACGACGGTACTGCCGATTGGGGAGGGAAACTGACGACCTTGTTTACCAGCTTGTCCATGGCGGCCTTCGCTGAAGCCGCTTGTTCGTCTTTTATCCGAAGGTCGTTGAAGCACTTGGAGCAGAAATTCATCGTCGCCGCCGTGCCGAAGAAACCGCAGCCGTTGGCGCAGAGCGCAGGCTCGGAAGGTTGAAAGCTTGTGGCGTCGTTCATCTTGTTCGCGTCTGATCCCATCTCGATCGTTTTTCTCTTTAGAAATCAAAATCAAAATCAAAAATCAAAAATCAAAGCCCACAAACCGATGATTTTTCTTTAGAACAAAGAATCGGTTACCGAAAATCTAATATTTATAGAAGGAGATAGACGGTGTGGTTGACTTGTCTTGGGTCAGAAGTTATCCATAATGACGGCAAGGTTTGCGTAAATAACCATATTACCCCTACTAGAACTTCGACCGTGACTACCACCATAAGGGTGTTTTTGTCTTTTCACGGTTTAAAACCACTTTCCTTTTATCAACAGGCTAAGTTTTCGAGATACAAAAAAGACATTTCTAATTTTCTACCCCTTTCTCTTTTGGTTTAGGACTGGAAAACCCCCAGAGGACTCATGAGGATTTTCAGAGAAACGTTTCTAGAAGGATCCAACAGGTTCTCGAATTAATGTTATTGAATCAAAAAATAAATATAAATTCAAATGAATTAATACGATCATGATCGTAAGGAAAACTAGGAAGAGCAACTATCGATTCCGATTTGAGAAAACTATTGGATTGTATGATAACAACGAAATTAATGGCAGATATTCACAAAATCTATCATCTAGAAGAGTAATTCTTGATTGAAACTTAAAATGATTACCAAAATTACAGATCGTCTCAATAGCAGCAAAAAATATCCAATGGCAAATGCACGTATTCACAATTTCACATAATCTATCATCAAGAAGAGCAATTGTTGGGTGAAACTAACGATAAATTAAACAAAAATCCAGAGATCGTTGATAGCAACATAATTATCCATGGCAAAAGAAGATTTTATGATTCCAAACTGTACCTGTCTGTTTGTGGATTATGATGGTTGTGGTTTGATGCTTTCTTACACACTCGTTTGGCGTTTGAATTTCGGTCTGGAATTGGTAGAAATGTGAAGATGAAAATGGAAGGGAAGAAGAATGAAAAAGGGCGAAATTGGGAATATCAAAAAGACGATGAGATTAAGAACCACCACCGGCAGGCAGTACCCATTTTGGCTATACCCCCAAACAACACCTTGGGTTTTGCTACGGTGTGTCTGCAACCTACCATAGTTAGCATGTGGTCTTTCTTTCTTTATCCCTTTTGTTGCGTCAAATACTTTGGATTATTCAAAAAAAATTTAATACGGTGACATCGTATAAAATGGTTGTATATTTTAAAATAAAACGGTTGCATTTTTTATAAACTTAATTTTTTTATTTTACGACGGAGGAATAATACGGTAGCACGTGCCATCTAACCACCCCTCTAAATCCGTCTATGATCAGGTTGAATATATTTAATAATCTAATTTAATATATACAATTTCGAAAATCTGAATCTCATCTAACTCAAGTAAAATTATAACCCAATTTAATCCAAACATTGTGGTTTAATTGAATTGGTTAGGTTGAAACTTTTTTATATCATTTTACAATCTAGCAGGGTGTTTTTATTTAAACAAAATAAAATCAAAAACAAAAACATACAAACAAACACATAAAAAAAGTAGAAATTTCATGTAAATAAAAAACTAAAAATATTACAGTTGAAATTATAATGTCTATAATGTATAATGTACATATATTAATCAATGACTTAACAATTATATTTAATCCATTATATAGAAAGGCATCGGGCTAAATTGAGTTCAAATTACCCTAATTCTAACCTAATAGATGTAATTTGATCTAATTTTGTATCAACTATGTGTCTACCTTAGTTTGGTTCTTTTAGATTTTTTCGGATTGAATTGGCTGACTTGGTTGGTTTTTTAGCACCCCTACTTTGAATCGAGTTTTGGGTAAATGAATAATATGGTTAATAAGCTTCTTTTTCTATTTTTCTCAAATTTTCATTATTAATTTTTTTATTTATATTACATAAAGTATTAATTATAAGAAGACTATAAAGTTTATACCATAACTCGATACATTTTATAAAGAGATCACATTTTGCAATGCAATATTTTATTTAATATGGTCTGATTTACAGTTTTGCTCTAATCTTTGTATGAGTTATGTTGTCTATCTAGATAAGTATGTTTGATTGAGGGGCAAGAAATCAATGGGTTTGATGGAGAAAAAAAGAGAGCCATGCATCAATTATGATGCATTTTTTACATTAATTTGTTTGAGGCAGTTTAATGGGGGACAAGTGAAGGGTCCTTGTTTATTCCATATAGCCATTTTGGCTTAATGTCTTAACGATTAAGCCATGAAAAACACTCATGTATAACTAAACGATTTAACTGACCAAACTATTAAGTTTATTAAGCTATAAGTAAACAACCACTTACCCTTTTGGATATACTAGAAGGGTACTCGTGTAATCCATCGAGACACATTTCATTTAAGTGTTTCATTTTATATTTTTTATGTCGATATAGTACGGTTTTAAGAACGCGATAATGATTTTATTTTTTAATAGAATATAAATTTGAACATATCAAAATTTTGAAAAAAAATATATTGATGTCAGTACCAAATTTACCTTTTTAAAAGAGAAAAGTCTAAAAAAACCCAATGCACTTTAGTGTTTGAAATGATTAAGTCTTTAGACAATTTTTTGGAATAAATAAGTCCTTGGACATTCCAAAACCTGTTAAACAACTCCTTGGACTTTCTAAAACTTGTTATATACATCCTTATGACCTATAAACTAAGGGTGCGTTTGCTTTGCATGAATGAAATGGAATTGGAAAGATTTGGATTTAAAATCCATTCCAATCTAGTGTTTGGTTTGCCAAATTATTAGGATTTGAAATCCTGGGATTTCATTAAAATCCATTACACGTGGGATTTGGAAATCCTTCCCAAAGGTGCAGGATTTGAAATCCAAATCCAAGCTTTTTCCTCCCATCGCTTCCTCCCGCTTCCTTCACCCAGCTTCCCTCCCATTGCTTCCCTTCCATCCGCTCTAATCAGTCCTCCTCACCGGTGCTCCCTTCCCATCCCCTTGCGAAGCTGTGCCCTAATCGGTCCTCCTCCCCGGTGCTCCCTTCCCGTCCCCTCGCGAAGTTGCGCCCTAATCGGTCGTCCTCACAGGTGCTCCTTTCCCGTCCCCTCGCGAAGCTGCCGCCCTAACCCGCTGATAAACCCTTCCTCTTCGCCGCCTTCTCCCATCACTCAGCAGGTAAATCCCTTTTTCCCTTTTGTAGTATTTTGTGTGCCTTGGAGCTTGTGTGCCTTTTTCAATCACTGTCGCTAATTTTATTTCAATCACTGGTTTGGAAGTTCTTTTTGTGATACCTACTGATTAAATATTCTTTAATCCGTGCTCAATATTGAACATCCCAAAGTTTCTTCAGTTTGTTACAAGTAGAACTTAGCTTAAGTTGAAAAAATCTGGTAGGATGCTTCAGGTTTGAGTTTCRACTGCTTTCAATCCTTTCTTTGCATTAGTTGGGTATAACTTGATAATGTCACTCAAATAGGCGTTCTATATACTTTGGAGTTTCTGGGTGTTGGGGGTTTCTTTGACTACTATCTTATTTAGTATCTTACTCAACATTTGCATGTTCTATAATCATGGAATGTGACTCCATTTTATGTGGCACTTGTCTAAATCCTATCATGTTTTTAATGTTTAGTATGTTACTCACTAAGTAGATGATGTCAAAGTGCATTAGCTTTGCACCAGATGATGTTTTGTGTTCTTATATATTTGTATGTACTTGCATTTCTTTTTCCCCTGTTTGCACCAGATGATGGCTTTCATGCGCACAACATTTAAATTTGATATACAAGAGACCCTTGCATCATGTGGATGGTTGTACTTATGATACACATGGCCTCATCAGTTGCTTCATGTACCATGCACATGTTATGATATGATTTTTTTGGATATTATGCATTGATTGCATTCCTTCTTGCGTTCTTTTCAAATAGATTTTCTTGTCACCGTTTTTCAACAGAAATCTGCATCCGAACTATAAAACCTAAATAAGTATCACCATTGGTTCAACCTGTGCTTCATGGGGCACTCTGTTTTGATAATGGCAATGTCATGAATTTTTGTGATACTAAACAACCTAAATAAGTTTCCTATTGCCATTGGTTAAATATGTATTTTGGATTAACGAGTTTAGTGGTTAAATATGTATTTTGGATGAAAATGTTTGTTGATTAAATATGCATTTTGGATGAAAATGTTTGTTGATTAAATATGTATTTTGGATGAAAATGTTTGTTGATTAAATATATATTTTGGATTTCAATCCAAATCCTACAAACCAAACACAGGAATGGATTTCAAATCCAATCCAAATCCTGCAAACCAAACACATGAATAGATTTTAAATCCGATCCAATCCAAATCCCATGGAATCCAAATCCCTCTTGGAATCCAAATCCCTCAGAAACATTCCTGCAAACCAAACGTACCCTAAGGGAAAAGTCTAAAAAAACCCAATGGAGTTTAGTGTTTGGAATGATTAAGTACTTGGACAATTTTTTGGAACAAATAAGTACTTGAACATTACAAAACTTGTTAAACAACTTTTTGGACTTTCGAAAACCTGTTATATACATTCTTATGACCTATAAAACTAATTAACGTAGTAAAATAATGGAAAAAGAATGAAAAAAAGCCAATGAACATTCATATTTTGAACAATAAAGTCCTTAAACATTTTTTAACCAAAAAAGTACTTACATTAAGTAAAATAAAACTAATATACCAAAAAGTAGTTACATTTAAAAAAGATTATTGATAAAATTTATTTTAATTAAAAATAAAAGATATTATGTCAGTGATTTTTCAAATTTAAAAAAATAAAAAGAGATTTAAAAAGTATTACAGGTTATATTCATTTTTAATTAAAAATAAAATATATTTTATATATGTTTTTTAAATTAAAAAATATAATTTTTAAAAAAATGACTACTGATTAAATTTATTTTAATTAAAAATAAAAATATTTTTTATTTTTAATTAAAATAAATTTTACAAGTAATCTTTTTAAATCTTTTTTTTTAATTTGAAAAATCACATACGTGATATATTTTATTTTTAATTAAAATAAATTTAATGAGTAATTCTTTTTACGGCCCTAAGGTAGCGAAATTCCTTGTCGGGTAAGTTCTGAAACCCTAGACACTCTAAGGGGTCGTTTACCAAATGCTTACTCGGGTAAGCGCTTACCAAGTTATATTACATTACCGGATGAATATGACAATGACCAAGAATCTTACCTAATAAGAGCGAGGCAAAGACCGAGAGTCTTACCCGGTAAGTGAGGACAATGACTCTTACCATAGTCAGCTCTTACCGGCTAAATTAGTGCATAGAAAGCCGTTTTTATTGACTAAAATCTTACCTAGTAAGTAAATGATAGTGTTCAATTTTACCGTTAAGTGCTTACCGGATTAGTGTTTGGTAAACGGCCCCTAAGATCATTTTTCAAACCTGCTCCTATTTCGAGTCAAGAGATAGATAAATAGACACATCCCAATCGCCCGGGCCTGGTCACTGCGACCCCCTTTGTGAGGAGGCACCCCTTCTCCCGAAGTTACGGGGCTATTTTGGTGACAAAATACTAATTTTAAATAAAATAAATTTTATCAAAAATCTTTTTTAAATGTAATTATTTTTTTGTAAATGTAAGTACTTTTTTATTATATATGTTTGATTTTATAGATCTAAATATTTTTTGGTTCAAAAAATATTTAGGGATTTAATCGTTCAAAATATGAATGTTCAATGGGTTTTTTTCGAACTTTTTTCATTATTTTATCACATTAACCAGTTGTATATGTCATAAGAAAGTTTCCAACAGGTTTTAGAAAGTCCAAAGAGTTATTTAACATGTTTTGGAATGTCCAAAGATTTATTTGTTCCAAAAAATTGTCTAAGGACTTAATCATTCCAAACACTAAAGTCCATTGGGTTTTCTAGACTTTTCCCTTTTTAAAAATTCTTGTTTTTGTTGTAATTTTCTTAATTCAATTTTCTTATTATAATTTAATTTAGGTTTAGTAACAAAGTAATTTTATTTAGATTTAATGATATAATTTTTTATAAATATAAT